TGTAGCTAGTACAATAATAGCAAAAGTAGGCAGCTCGTCCCAATTTTCAAGCTTGAAACAAGTTCAACGCTGCGTCCGTCACGGTGGTCACGTGTCCGTCGACTTGATTTCCAGGAAAATTCGCCGCCGGTTGTTTTTTCGTGCCGTCGAGAGTGCCCTCGGTCCCGCGGAAGTAGCGAAAAACGAGACCGGAGAAGGGTTAGGTTGCGACGAGAAGCGGGTCCCACGTCAATCAAGAGGAGAGAAGGACGACGAGAAGGTTCGTGAAAAGGGCCCCGGCGACGTCTTGGTCTCGTCATACTCCTGGACAAGGATGCGCCGGGCAATCTGGCGGACACTCGTTATTTTCGAAGGCGGGCGCTCTTGTTTTTCCAAAAGGTCCTTCCCAAGTCTGTGAAAACAATGTGTTCCTCGTCCACCCCCGTGTTCGACTTCTTGCCGCCGCGGCCGACGCTGAAAAAACACGTGTGAGAACATTCTGCGGCCACGGAGTCCGGATTCCGTCGCGCCTCATTGTGAATGCTTTTCTTCTTCTTTGTTTCGTCGCGACTTTTAATACCCGATTAACCCCTTAACGCACAGTTTTTCTTTTTTTTTGTTGAAAAAAACCGGCCAAAAAGAATCAATTTTTTAAATGTAAAAAAACACAATTTACAGCATTGTCTCGGCAGAAAAACTAAAAAAATACATAGAATAATCAAAGCTTTTATTTTAATTTTGGATTTTGAACAACTGATGCAGAAAAGAGCCGAATATTGCAGTGAATTTTGCTATTGCAGAGGAAAAGGCTATATTTTATTCTTGAATATAAATAAGCGTTTTTTTTTCTTTGCTTTCACATCGTTATTTTCAATTCTCGATTATATTCGAGCGTGAAAAATTACAGCAGCATAAAATACAACGCCGCTCGAATTATCTCGACTGTGCACAGTTCGGCCTGTTTGGCGCGCTCGAATTAACTCGAGCGTGCAAGTTAAGGGGTTAATATATTCGCGTGTTCGCTGTGCTTAGTGTACCGATATGACCCCGAGAAATCATAATTATTGGGAAAATAAATCATTATTATTATCATTATCATTGTTATTATTACTATTACACTATTATTACTATTATTACTGTTATTATTATTACTATTACTATTATTACTGTTATTATTATTATTATTACTATTATTACTATTATTATTATTACTACTACTACTACTACTACTACTACTACTACTATTATTATTATTATTATTATTATTATTACTACTACTACTATTGCTATTATTAATATTATTACTGTTATTATTGTTACTATTACTGTTACTACTATTATTACTGTTATTATTTTTCTTATTACTATTATTATTACTATTATTATTATTATTATTTAATATATTTTCGATGCAACGACGATACATTCCGCGATTCGAATCGGACCGTTATCGAATCCGGCCGGCCCTGTTCGTGAAAGAACTTCCTAAATTGATTAACAAGAGGCGAGTTTGATTGACAGGAACGGCATACAATCTATTTAACAGCGTAAAGTCGGTAATGGTTTCTGGAAATTATTTACGGCCGCCGGCATTGCCGCACGCGCAAGTAGCATCATCGCGCCGCCCGTTTCAATTTGCGTGTTGCGTAAATGGAAAACGGTTATTAAACATCGACTTCTTCGGCCCGAGTGAACGGGGGGTCCCGGCTTAGACAGCGGCGAAAAATCGATTTATTGCTGTGTAGCATGTTTATGAACCGCCCCGCGACGCAAAAGAAGAAAGGTAAGAAGGCAGAGTGGAGGGGAGACGGTGCTTAACAACAGAAGTTGGATAATGTTTCATAGCTGTGTACTGCTATCCATAAATCCTGCATGGAATGCATGAACGCGCGGGGATTTCATTTTATTCGCAAAACCGGGGAAAAAGTTTATATCGCCCGCCGTCCGGGAAAAAAGGACACTGGAAACAGGAAATTAAATGAACTCTGACAGGTAAGCCGTAAGATCGATAAAATCCGACGTTACGACATGTCGATCGTTTTTCAGATCGTTTATTTATTTATTTCTCTATTTATTTATTTATTTATTTATGTGATATTTATTAGTACATCATTCTATGATAATATTTCTATTTATTTGCTTGTTTATGCAAGTATTTATTTATTTAGTGGATCGGCTGTACTGTACAATATTACTGTATTTTATTGTATATTGTATATTATTGCATTATATTACTGTATATAATATTCTATATTCTATATTATTGTATAATATTACTGTATATAATTCTATATTCTATATTATTATACAATATTACTGTATATAATTGTATATCGTATATTATTGTACAATATTACTGTATATAATTGTATATCGTATGTTATTGTACAATATTACTATATATAATTCTATATTCTATATTATTGTACAATATTACTGTATATAATTGTATATCGTATATTATTGTACAATATTACTGTATATAATTGTATATCGTATATTATTGCACAATATTATTGTATATAATTCTATATTCTATATTATTGTACAATATTACTGCATATAACTCTATATTCTATATTATAGTACAATATTACTGCCATATAATTCTATATTCTATATTATAGTACAATACAAATAGTTGAAAGAATAACAATCATACTTACAAAACTACGATACAAACATCCGATTCGAATATTCGTTTGCAATAAAATGTTAGCTTCGATTAGGTTAGGTTAGTAATTTTGAGAGCCGATTGCCTGCACTTATTGCAGGAAGATAAATCAGCCGGAAAATAAATCGACGTCGTCGCTTGCTGAATCGATCTAATGAAAAATCCTTGTAATAATGTGAAAGAATCCAAGGTCAACGTAGATTTCACGCTGCACAACGAACGTGGGACAATATCAAAGTTTGTAGAACCCAATAAAGGGGTTATGTATTAAAAAAATAAGTAAACATTTCGCCACAGTTCGTCTGTATTTCACACATGTCACATTAAAATTGATTAGTATAGATTATTAGTTATTATAGGTTATTATGTTCATACCTGAGCATTGGACTTTACATTCCTCTCGCAACAAGCCGCAAAAATTTATGCTTCATTCTCTCAATCATTCGGATGTACTTAGCTTGAAAGGGAGACCACACACACACCCACACACATGCACACACACTCGCATAATCAAGGCGACAAAGAACCAGATAATTATAAAGTGTTTAAAGCGTACGTGGATTCCTAAATTCCTCAAAAATATCGGTTAATGAAACGCTCTGACGACCTGTTTGACACTGTTAATTAGGGCGAGTCCGGGAAACGACATCGATATCTCGAAACGACGACGCCACCTGGCGTTGCACTAAAAGTCGAACCTCCCCTTAATAAATCGATTGTCGATCGCGCGTTGTAACCGTCGCAGAACTGTGCCCTGATCTTGCCAAATTTCTTTTCGAAGTTTTAGCATGATCTGGAAGTTTCTTCGCCAGCAATAATCAACAGATGGGTAAGTTAATTACGCTATTTTCATTTTAAGCGATACATTATGCATAAAACTACCGTGTAACCTCGATAGCGCCCGTCTATTCGTTTCCGGGACTTAACCTAACAGACGCGTCGATTATTGTCCCCGCGAACGACATTTCGCGTGCAACAGTTTCAGCTCGAATTTATCGCGATCCCGTGCGATTCTATCGCAATTTATTTTCACGAATTTATCCGGTGCGATGAAAGATTTCGTCGGCCACGAATTCGCGATATTTCTCGCTTCGGAAGATCGAAGTTGACGGCGTAAATTCCGTCACAAATACGCCATAAATTTGACGGCGCTATTTCCATCGATATTATCGACGCGGTGCGAGTACATCAAAAGAATCGATGCTCAACGAACTTGTGCCGAAATCCGCGACGTTACGCGTAAAGCTACGTTTACAGGGTCGCGGGAAATCGAGCGTGCGCGCGCGCGCGCGCCTAACCTTATCCCGAATAACCGGATGATCGCGAAACAGCGAAGCGAGCACTGGCGATACGCAGAAGAAAAAACATAAGAAAAACGGCCTCGTTCGATTCTCTCGGATCGACGTATCGACGAAGACGACCGCGAAGTTCGCGTCGCTGGACGATTCTGTTGATCGTCGCGGGAGAATAATTCCTCGAAGGCGTGAATCGAATAGTTTTATGCGAGCCAAAAATTCGACTAGCTACAGAGGATGGATTTAACGTCGGTCGTCGGGATGGATTTGTCGGATTCGGTTGCGCATCTCCGCAACAACGCCTGCGATAGAAGGAAAGAAGCGAGAGAGCGCGCGCGCGCGCGAGTCCGGGGGTGTAATGAGGCTTATTTATCGTCGCTGCGTGGCCGGCCAATGGCGGCGCGGTATGGTGGTCGTGGCCATGCCCAGCGGCCAATGGCGGTGCGCGCTCGGTAGCTGTCAGCCGGGCCACGCCCCGGCCAATCGGCGCTCAGCTGCGCATGACAGAGTGGCTCGGCCTCGGAGCACGCCGGAGCGGCAGTCCCTTCTGGTGCGTGCGTAGGAGAACGTCTCTCTTTCGCCCGGTCACGAGAGAGAGGGAGTGTGGGATCTGACGTTTCGTTATCATACCTCGCGCGAGCCCGAGAGACCTCCGGTGACGCTCGGCTCGGCCCGTATTCAGCCCGCGCGCGTCGTTCGGGGAGCCGCCGCGGTGTTGTCCGTCGATGGTAGTGCTTCGAGTGCGCGATAAACGACAGCCCAGAGTGCATGCACCGCCGCCCGCCCGTTTCCAAAGTGTACTACTACGTCCGGTGTGCGCGTGTGTGTGTTGTCGCGTGAACGGTCGAGCGAACGGCCGCAAGACCGCGGGCGCCGACGAGCCAGGAAAGTCGTAAGCGCGTATCGACGCGCGGAGCCTCCGGCGGCGACGGAATCGAGGGTGATAGAGCGAGCGAGCAAGCGAGAGAAAGAGAGGGGGACAGAGAAAATGGACTATTTAACACGCTCCTAAGAATAGCCGGTGCGCGTTCGTACGCGAGTATACTAAGCGCCTATAAATACACGCGTACCGCGGGCCGCGGAAACACGAGCTCGTAGATTTCACGGTGCAACCTGCGCCACGAGGAGAGATAGGAAAAGACGCGGCAAAGAAGAAGGGAGCAGAGGGGAGAGGCGATCTTGAAGGAGGGCGCACCTGGCGCTCGAAAAGAAACTTGCCATAATCGGATCTAGTCGGAGAGGCAGTAACGCAAGATAATCGCGGGCGCGCGGCGCGAGGGACGCGGAGACACTAAGATACCAGTGCGTGCGCGCGCGCGCGCGCGTCTGTGTCCAGAGAGAACGAGCGACGGAGAGTGCGATAGAGAGAGAGAGAGAGAGAGAGAGAGAGAGTGCGAGAGAGGGACGCGTCGTGTGTGTAGCAATCGGTCCATTGCCGGCGGTACCAGTCCGAGAGCAGAGATTAGAGAATAACCGCACCTGAAGTGAGATTTTATTATTTCGCCGGTGTACCCTTTCTTTCCCTGCCCGTAGTAACACGAGAAACATCATCCCGGCGCGGAGTCGCTCGGCGGCCGAGCTTGCAGCACAACTCTCTCTCTATACCCGAGGCGGTCTCGCCTAAAAATATCTCCTTCCTGCATATTCCGGCGCGTTTACACCGGCCTCTCTCGTTGTTTCTCTCGCCGGCGGATCGCGCGTACACTTTTTCTTACCGTCGCGAGGCGAGTTCTTCCTGTGAGAACCGAACGGTCGCGTAGTTACCTCTCTAAGGTCTCTCGTCGGAATTAAAACTATCGCCGGAAAGGCACCGAGGGACCGAGGGAAAATGGGCCGCAGAGAATCGTGCGCGACGGAGCACCGTGGATGACCGAAAGAGAGAGAGGGAGAGAGAGGGATGAGGATCGTGGTCGCGCCGGGCCCTCGAAGCGACACGCGCCCAGCTAGAAGACAGCCGCCGTCGGGAGAACGGTCCCCGATAGGACCCGGTGTCCCGTCCGTCGGCTGACCGAGGAGCCACCCAGCCGCGTGTGTGCGGATTCGCCGCGGTGTTGTCGCGCGGTGAATGAAACAGTGAGTGAAACAAAAAGGAAAAGAGAAGAAAGAAAATAGAAGAAAGTGCAAAGCAGAGGAGGAAGAGAAGTGGTTCACGGTGGAGGGTGGAGGAGGGAACGGTGTGCAAGGGGTCGCCGCAGTGGGCCCCGGAGATGACGCGATGATGGCCTACGGAGGAACCGCTGTGAACGGTGGCACGATGGGACCCTCTTCCGCCGGCACGGACGTTTTGGGCTCGACCGGCGATTACAGCCCGCAGGGGACACCGACGCCCCTCACCGGCCATTCGGCGGGCCCCGTCGAGGCGAGCACGTACGGCCCGGCGACCGGGCCCACCAGTTACAGTCCCCAGGACAGCCCGGCGAGCTCCGCCGGCGGCGGCGGCGGAAGCGGCACCAATGGACAACTGCCGAGCTTCGGGTTCACCCAGGAACAGGTCGCATGCGTTTGCGAGGTAAGTTCCATTCCGATTCTTCCGTGTGACGATTGTTTTGCTTGGCCACGCTCACTTCGATTTTCTCCCATTTTTCGACGCGGACGGACCTGGTCGAACGTTTCTCTTCGAGTTTTGCGTACGTTTGATTTATAGTTCGATTAAGAGTGATAGGACCCATTTTTCCGATGGAACCCTTGCGACGTACCGACGGTTAAACGGTCCCGCGATTCGGGCCCAACGGGCCCATGATCTTGCGCGTGGAATCGTTCTCGAAGTTAACCCTTTGCCGACGAAGCCGCTCGACGGGTATTGGATATAAAGTAAAAATGTTTATAAGACGTAATTATATTATTGTAAGATTATAAATATGGGGAGTAATAAGATCATAATAAGTAATAGATTATAAATATGGGGATTATAAAGTTTGCTGGTTTCTCTGGCAGTGACACAGAAACTTCAGTTCGACCGACTCGTCGAACTGAAGTTCGTTCTGAACCTACGGTTAAATTAATAGATTTATATTAACATTAAGCAGTAATACTGAGTGACATGTACTGTTTAGTGTTAAAGATGGGACCGTTAATCGTGATAGGGCCCATTTCTTATGGAACCCTCGCAACGTACCGACGGTTAGACGGTCCCGCGATTCGGGCCCAACGGGCCCATGATCCTGCGCGTAGAATCATTCTCGAAGTTAACCCTTTGCCGACGAAGCCGCTCGACGAGTATTGGATATAAAATAAAAATGTTTATAAGATATAATATAATATATAGAGATATAATATAAATATGGGGAAAAGCTTGCTGGTTTCTCTGGCAGTGACACAGAAACTTCAGTTCGAACGACTCGTCGAACTGAAGTTCGTCCTGAACCTACGGTTAAATTAATAGATTTATATTAACACTAAATTTATATTAACATTAAGCAGTAATACTGAGTGGCATGTGCTGCTTCACAAAAGTGAGAAGACCGAATTTATTCGGAATTTGTAAAGTTTCCATTATAAGACTTGCTACAATAATGTAACTTATTCGAGCGTTTTCCACGAAAGAGTCTCGGAACTTTGCAGAATTGCGAAATAAGAAAGTGGTCACTTTGACGACGGCAGGTTTAGTGTCAATAAATTTATAATGGATGGTGGTACCACTTTGGTGCCATTTTAACCCTTTGCACTCGAGTGGCGACTCAGAGGCACCACTAAAATTTATAATTTATATTATATCACCTGTTAAAATAATTTTGACGTTAACAAAGTTTAGATTTGAAAAATTGTTAAGAATGTGTAACTGTTGTGCGAGTCCCAAGAATCAATTTCATACGCATAAAATGCATTTTATCGTATAAAATAAAAAATACCATAAGTGAGAAAAATGATTTTATATTTACAGTTAAAGTAGCTTCGAGTGCAAAGGGTTGAACTTTCGAATTTGCAACCCTGAAAACTTGTCGAATGCTCTCCAACGGATAAATGTTTAAACCCTTTGCACTCGAGTGGTGACTCAGAGGCACCACTAAAATTTGTTATATATCGCGTTTCAAGATAATTTTTATATTAACAAAGTTTAGGTTTAAAAAATTGTTAAGCGTGTGAACTGTTGCGTGAGTCTCAGGAATCAATTTCATGCGCGTAAAATGCATTTTATCATACAAAATAAAAATACTATAAGTGAGAAAATTGATTTTATATTTAGAGCTAAAATAGTTTCGAGTGCAAAGGGTTGAAAAACTGAAATAACATTTGAACTATATCTCTTGGCGTGTTAAAAGCCAGCAAGCTAACTATAGCATTACGCTTATTTAACTAAAAATTAAGTACGAAAATTCTTGGAAGTCTTATCTTAATTTTAAGAATTTATATTTACCGCCATCTTCGACATTTATTTTCTAAATCTAAAATTTCCAAGCTATTACGCCGACGTCAAACAAAAGGATCATATCTAAGATCTGCGGACGGCATAGTGTTAATAATTAATAAATTAATAAAAGAAAAAAGAACGGTAAAAAGACTTGGGCGGCTATTCGACATTTTTTTTTTAATCTAAAATTTCCAAGCCATTACGCCGGCGTCAAACAAAAGGATCATACCTAAGATTTGCGGACGGCATAGTGTTAATAATTAATAAATTAATAAAAGAAAAAAAACGGTAAAAAGACTTGGGCGGCTATTCGCCGACACTCGTCCGCAAAGGGTTAAATTGTCTCGTTATTATCATCGTTGTTGTTATCGCTATTATCTTACCGTACTCTTCTGTTGTTCTTAATTCTTCAGAAGAGTTGCGCTAATCGTATAGTCGGGGACAATGCGAGGGTATAGAAAAAATTCGTTATCGCTCCAACATAAACAAACGACGGATGGCGTCGGGTGTCAAACGCTCGAGGCAGCCATCGAACTCTCCCGAGTCCGAAAAGACTCTGCCGCGGTACGGCCGAGGGTTAACCCTTTGCACTCGAAGCTATTTCAACTGTAAATCTAGAATAATTTTTCCGACTTTTTTATGGTATCCTTATTTTACACGACGAAGTACATTTTATGCGCACGAGATTGACTCTTGCGACTCACAAAAACGGTTACGCTATTAACAATCCTTTTTCAATCTAAACTTTGCTAATGTGAAAATGATTTTAGAATGTGACGTCATAAATTTTAATAGTGCGAGTCGCCACTCGAGTGCAAAGGGTTCAAACATTTATCCGTTGGAGAGCATTCGACAAGTTTTCAGGGTTGAAAATTCGAAAGTTCAACCCTTTGCACTCGAAGCTACTTTAACTGTAAATATAAAATCATTTTTCTCACTTACGGTATTTTTTATTTTATATGGTAAAATGCATTTTATGCGTATGAAATTGATTCCTTGGGTTCGCACAACGGTTACACATCCTTAACAATTTTTTAAGTCTAAACTTTGTTAACGTCAAAATTATTTTAAAAGGTGATATAATATAAATTATAAATTTTAGTGGTGCCTCAGAGTCGCCACTCGAGTGCAAAGGGTTAAAGAATAACAAGTAATTTTCTCTTGTCTCTTGAACGTTCGTTTTCTTCCGTCGCGATCGGCAATTCTTATTGAATGATAAAATATAATAAAACAGTCGAATGCAAAGCGGAATTCTTGACAAATATTTGTTACAATTAGACTGCGGATTTTTACGGGAAATAAGAACTCCATCCGTTAATTGACGATTAATTGCTGTAGGAAGGTAAAACTACGTTTCTTTTCTCAACGGACGGGTTAAATGTTTTAATCCCTTAACGCACAGTTTTTTTTCGCTATGTCTTGACATTATTAGGATCTAATTAGGATCTAATTATTTATCTAATTAGGAATGTCCAACCTAATGGAAAAAGTACGTTCAGAAAGTCTCGTCCTGTAATTTTGAACGAGATCGGCTCCTGCACGATCAGAACGCAACCGATTGCACGCGCGTAATTACGCGACTTGAAATTTTCGATTATGTTCGCAGTCCGAGCCGCCGATTAGTCCACAAGAATCTCGCGCGCGTCGGCCGCGAAGTCCGACGGATGGGTGCCATCCGACGGATGGGTGCGCGACGCGCGCGAGATTCCGAACGCCTCGGCGGTCCGCCGCCGGTACGCTGTACAGGGTGTCCCAAAAATGTCTCGCGATCCGGAACTGGTGGGTTCCTCGGATCATTTGAAGCAACTTCTTCCTTTACAAAAATGTTCTCCGAGCCACCGTTAACGAGTTATCAACGATAAAGCAGCGACCAATAAGAATCGAGTACGGCTGACGCGAGGCGACCCGGCCAACCGGCGCGCGAAGCCCGGTTCCGCTCATTGGCTCGGTCGCCTCGCGCCAGCCGAGCTTGCCTCTCATTGGTCACTGTTTTTCGTTGATAACTCGTTAACGGCGCCTCGGAGAACATTTTTGTAAAGGAAAAAGTTGCTTCGAACGACCCGAGGAACCCGTCGCTTTCGGATTGCGAGACATTTTTGGGACACCCTGTGTACATACCCGAGGCGACCGGAACCACATTTTGCAATCCCGTGTGCTCCTTCGTAATCGCGAAGGCCGTCGCCGTCGTCTAGCATTGATAAAATAATAACGGGCGTAGCTGCGCTCTTGGCCGCCGTCGCGAACGATTGTTCCTCGGAGATACTCTGAAACCAGCACCCTTAACATAAATTTATGCACCTTGCGAACGGCATGACGAAACCCCAGCCCTGATATTCTGAATTCTCTGCTGGTCTCAAGGTGTATCGTGCGCAACAATGTACAGCGCCGCGCCAAGATTCACTCGCGTGTCACGCGGCTAATGGAGTTCATGCGTTTTTACTGCGACCATAAATTGTTTTGTGCGCGACGTTTACGTTCCTCGCGTCGGACGTGGTTTCGCCGCGTGCGCGTGCGCACCGCGAGTTTTGTTTCTCGCGTTCCCAGAAATATTTCATTCCCGTGCGCGGCGGACGCGCTCCGCGTTTCTCACCTTTGAATACGAAATTTCATTGATAATCACATTAGCCGCGTCCAATCAGTGTCCTCTTCGTTTATGCGCGCCGCCGCGCGGCCTTCCGAGCCGGATTAACGACGCGCCGCTGGTAAAATTCGGAAGGTTGGATATTTTGACGCGGACTGTACGTTACATTTTTCGGTCGCGAACGCTCGGAACGGTCGGTACCGATGCCTCGCGGTTTTTTCCGTCGTTCCAGCGCTATTTAATTCTGTCGAAACGAGTGAAGACATTTGATAAAATTGATAAAATAATGGCAACGTCGCACGATCGCATTGTACGATGTCTCGGGTACGCAGCTTTAACGGAAGAACCGAAGTGAAAATACAGCGTGTCTCAAAAATGTCTCGCGATCCGGAAATATGTTCCTCGGATCATTTGAAGCAACTTTCTCCTTTACAAAAATGTTCTCCGAGGCGTCGTTAACGAGTTATCAACGAAAAAGCAGCGACCAATAAGAATCGAGTACGGCTGACGTGAGGCGGCCCAGCCGACCGGCGCGCGAAGCCCGGTTCCGCTCATTGGCTCGGTCGCCTCGCGCCAGCCGAGCTCGCCTCTCATTGGTCACCGTTTTTCGTTGATAACTCGTTAACGGCGCCTCGGAGAACATTTTTGTAAAGGAAAAAGTTGCTTCGAATGACCCGAGGAACCCGCCACTTTCGGATTGCGAGACATTTTTGGGAGTTAGGGAGTCGGGCGCAGAATTGTTTCTCGAGATTTCCGGGCATCGTAACGCGGTCCCCGGCTAATAATACTTGCGGTGGATGAGAAGTTTCCACGTTTCTTCGACGGCGAAAGAAACCGTCGTTACCCGTCGCAATAGACGCGCGCGCGCACACGTTTCCCATAAGTGCGTTGCGCGCACGACTCTAGGCGTTTAGCTCCTTGCCCACGTCATATGGATGTCTCCCCCCCCCCCCCCCCCCCCCCCCTCCCCAACCCCNTTCCCCCCCCCCCCCCCGCCTCGTAATTTACGGCAAAATGTTTCGCGTTTTCGATAAACTACCGGTGTAGCCGGCAGCATCGGGCTCGAAATGGAATCGTTTAACGGGTAATTACGCTCGGCCGGCAATAAGAAAGGACGCTTACAGAGTGGTCTAAAGAGCGTTTACGATCGCCGTCCTCTCTCAATAATTCAACCGTTCGTTTAAAAGCATACCGGTGCCGCCTGACGTTTACAGTTATTAAACAATCGCGGCGACTGCCGGGATGAGTCGCGGATGGTCGTCGCGGTAGCGAAACAAAAATTCGCCGTCGATCAGCGAGATGATGTCGTGCGCCCTGTTACCTGGCGTTCATTCGCGATTACACCGTGAGACGTGGGCGCTAGTTGTCTTGTATCATAATTGAAAAAAAGAACCGTCGATTTCGTAGCTCGGGAATAACTGTCGCTTGCGATCTCATTTTTCTTCTATTGCTCCTCCGCTCTCTCTCTCTCTTTTGAGATCGCTCTCTCTCTCTCTCTCTTGAGATCGCTCTCTCTCTCTCTTGAGATCGCTCTCTCTCTCTCTCAATCGCTCTCTCTCTCACTCTCTCTTGAGATCGCTCTCTCTTTTTCTCTCTCTTTCTCTCTCTCTCTCTCTCTCTCTCTTGAGATCGCTCTCTCTCACTCTTGAGACCGCTCTCTCTCTCTCTCTTGAGATCGCTCTCTCTCACTCTTGAGACCGCTCTCTCTCTCTCTCTCTCTCTCTCTCTTGAGGTCGCTCTCTCTCTCTCTCTTGAGATCGCTCTCTCTCTCTTTCTCTCTCTCTCTCTCTCTCTCTCTCTCTCTCTCGTTCGCCGCTGGGTGCCTTCAGCCGTATCCGCCCGTCCCCTTCGCGCTACCTGTTTTTTCGAGAGCGAAGACAAATCGATCCCCCTCGAGCCGTGTTTCAAATAGCATAACAAAATTGTTGAGTGGAAACATATATCGATAGAGAATTATGTCAATTAACGAGAATCTAACCGGATATTGAAATATTTATCTAGAACAAAAAATATTGCGATGCAAATCTGCTAAAGGGTACCCCGGATATTAAACAAACCTATATCAATGTTTATAGTCCAATTCTAGTCCTTCTCTGACAACAAAATGACTCAAAATCATCGATAGAGAAAATTAGCGCTAGAAAATCGATGAAAAAGGGTATTTATTATTATATCATTGTATACCATTCTATTATCGTATTATTTTACCTAATTTGTTTATCGACACTATGGTAAACTGTTCACGTTCTCCCCTAAAAAAGAAGAGCGTTCCGTCGGCTGAAATTTCGCCAGTTATTTAAAACGTTATCTCCGCTCGACGCCGTCGCGCGCGCCACAGAACGGAACAGCGTTCGAAGAATAGAACGATAAGGGGGGGGGGGCGGCCCCCATTTTCGGATCGGTCGACGCCTAGAGAGCGGTTGATTTGTCGTCGGGCAATCGAAAGCTTCGTGTACCGTCATTAAGTCCCCGATCGCGATCAGCCCGTCGTCCATTTCTCTCGAGCTTTCGACACGGCTCATTTCTCATTATGCTCGGCATTTCTCGCGCATCGTGATTAATCGGTCGTCAAGAGTGGGGAGGGGGGAACGGTCGCGCGCGAAAACTAGATGGCACCCGGCGACGCGAATGAAGAAGTAACCGGTGGCAGGTGCGCAGGCGCGCGCGCGCAGAAACGTGTGCGGGGCGAGGAGAGCCGCTTCGTAAGCCGGCGGTGGTGTTGTGCGCGTCCGTCGTCGCTTCTTTAAACGGGGGAGAGAGAGAGGGAGAGAGAGACTCGTTTTCGGTAATTTGGACGTAATGAACGATCGTGTGTCGATCGTGTTGTCATTATGTTCCTCCGTCGTGTTACGTGCTTACCTTTAATGGGAATTTAACCCGTTGCCATTCATTTTTCAAGTCGTGTAACGTCGCGCGATCAGGTGTTGTTGCGATCGCCGACCGGCGGCGACCGGCGGCGAAGATGCACGAACGCGTTCGGTTGCCGCTCGGAGAGACCCGAAACTCGAACGTTCGTGGTTATCGTTAACTCGAATTCTGCCGAATATCGTCGCTTGGATTATTTTGTGAATTTTACGGAAAATATGTGAACACGTGCAATTGGAATTTAGGAAGATCGTTACACTATTTTTTCGACTCTCTTTTCGACTCTTGGGCAATTTCTATTTCGCATAAAAAGACCCCGTCACGTTCCGTCGGGAACCGTCGAGCAAGCATTTCTCCCAGCGCGGTTTAAACTCGTCGCGATGACGTAAGCGACGTTTTTAAAAATGGTCGACTCGCGTTTTAGAACGTGTAACAAATGCATGCGAGAACGTTGAGGAGGCAAGCGAGAGAAATTACAAATTTAGTATAAATTGTGTTGACAGTAAATTTGACAATAAAAAAGGACGATATATGTGTTATTAAACAATAATATTCGCCGCGATTCTAAGCCGCTTGAATAAGGAAAGCTTATTAACCACTTTGCACTCGAAGCGAAATTAACGCAAAATTGAATATAGTTTTTCTGTTCCATCGTATTTCCATTTTATTTAACCTAATTCATTTTGTGCGTATGAAATTGAACTTTGTGATCGATGCAACAGTTCTTTAAATATGAACAAATTTGATTAATAAAATTATTTTGAAACGTGACGTGACAATATATAAGATAAGAATATTATAACTATTATAGCTTATAATATATAAATAATATATAATATTATATAATATTAAAAGAGAAATATATTCTATTCGTCACTTGGAAACATTGATTAGAGCGTAGGATTTCTTAATTTGATATTTCTAGTATACAGGGTGACTTCATTTGAATTTGAAACAGCTTGTAATATCATCGACGGTTTCGCAAAAATGTCCCGAAAATGTCTCGCAATCCGAAAGTAGGGGATTCCCGAGGTGATTCGAAGCAACTGTTTCCTTAGCGAAAATGTTCTCCGAGGCTTCGTTCACGAGCTATTAACGAAAAACAGCGACCAATCGGAGGCGAGATCGTTTGACGCGAGACGGCCGAGCCAATGAGCGGAACTGGGTGTCCGCGCGCTCGTTGGCTGGGCCGCCGCGCGCCAGCCGAGCTCGCCTCTTATTGGTCAGTGTTTTTCGTTGATAACTCGTGAACGAAGCCTCGGAGAACATTTTCGCAAAGGAAAAAGTTGCTTAAAATCACCTCAGGAACCTCCCATTTCCGAATTGCGAGACATTTTCGGGACACCCTGTACAACTGAGAATATTCCGTGTCCCAACAGCTCGAGCCGTCGGCATCGGAAGCATCGAACTCGCGAAAAGGGCGTGCGTGTTACGAGGGCTACGCGTCGACCGATTGGACGTCTCCCGTTTGTAAACAGTCGCGGTGTCGGTCGCGTCGTACGGTTTCCGTTCGTTTGTTTATTTTCTTCTTTTTTTTGTTGTTGTTTCCGTTCGACCGAGAAGCACCCTTTTCGCGCGGGACAGAGACGCGAGACGATTTAATCCGACAAAACACATATATACAAGATACACTAGAATAAGAGGAGACCGGGATGAGTTCTGCCGACTAACAGTGTGCCCCCCCTGTCTATCGTCTTCAAGGCGATGGTGTCGTCTGTCCAGGTTCTCCAGCAGGCAGGATCCGTGGAGAGGCTCGGCAGGTTTCTGTGGTCCCTGCCGGCTTGCACGAGGCTGCACCGACACGAGAGCGTGCTGAAGGCGAAGGCGATCGTCGCCTTTCATCGGGGACATTTTAAGGAACTGTACAGGATCCTCGAGAGCCACACGTTCAGTCTGCACAATCATCAGAAACTGCAAGCCCTCTGGCTCAAGGCTCATTATATCGAGGCCGAGAAACTGAGAGGGAGGCCTCTGGGCGCAGTCGGTTAGTATTAGTAGTTATTTAGACATCAGTGTTTTTTGTTTGTTGCTTAGGCCATGTTATGGTTCGTCGCTGCGAGGAAGAACGGCCGCGTGTCGCACGTTTTCCCGGTTCCAAGATATTAAAGTTTAAGCGGTGCGCTTCAAGTCGTATCATTTTATTCAGTCTTGATTAATTGTTGTTCAAATTTAATTCGCCTTTGCGGTGTTTCTTTTCTGATAAATACGCCGCGGTTCAATCGATGCGAGAGCTTAAAATTTCTAGATATTGCGACCTGCGACCATTTTTCCTTGTAGCCTCGGATATACTCGCAGACACGGCTGCAGATAATTTTCTTTGAACAGAGATCAAATCGTTTAAGTAACGCCGACGTTACTCTTTCTGTTCAAAACGCGTTTATCTGTACAATAATTAAAAAACTGTAATGTATATGATCTGCGGCAGGGCTCGGAATTAAGAGCACGCGGGGCGAGGCCTGCGTGGGCCACGCCTCCTGGCTCCAGTCGCGCGTCGCGCTCGCCAGTGGCCGCCTACGCGCCACGCGCACGCGCATAGAGCAACAGGCGTACGCACCTGACGCGCTCCGTGCCGAAAGAGGCGGTCGCGGGAGAGCGAGACGCTGCGACGGGAGCCGGGAGGCGTGGCCCTCGACATCGCCGCGTTGCCTGCGCTTAATTCCGAGCCCTGGTCTGAGGTTTTGTACGATCCAGGTACAGTACTTCCTCCGCAATGTCTCGACGCTTGAGAGACCTTCGGTCTCAAACCTTTGGGAGCGATTTGTTGCGCGAGATGGCAGACGTAGAGACGCGACGGTAAAAGAGTCGCTCGAGTGCGACGCTACGGAGGAAATACTGTACGATGTGACGTACTGTAGGGCGGAAGCCACCAAAAATATTTCTTGGAAATATATTGAAGAATATATTTCTTGACGCTAATCGTATAATATTTGTCTCAAAAAAATTCTTGAAGCTAATTGTATATTTGTGCATCAACTTGTTTATTCTCTACGTTGAGAATTTACGTGTGCACAAAGTTTATAAATAAATATTGAATAATATCAATATTTAATTGAATATGTAATAATAATACCAATATTAATTGAATATATAATAATAATACCAATATTAATTGAATATATAATAATAATACCAATATTAATTGAATATATAATAATAATATCAATATTAATTGAATATACAATAATAATACCAATCTTAATTGAATATATAATAATAATAATACCAATATTAATTGAATAATTGAATTTTACTAAATACGTGTCCCTGAGCCTATAAATAAAAATGAAATTTAATTAAATGACATTGAACATTCGTGCTACCTAAATTACCAAAAAAGCAATTAATTGAATCAGGGAAACCTTGAAGAAAAATTGTACAATTCAGTCGTTCTTGAGGCGGAATCCTTTGAGGTCACGTGGTCGACTTCAAATTAAAAGCAAATTAAACAATCGCAGCGCGATTCAAACGTTCAATGAGTAATTTCAACGGCGTTTACGAAGCGCGACTTTTTAACGCGTTCGGGCGCCTTTTACCCCACGCTGTGCGCCGTCCGAGCGTCGCGCGGCGAACTTGTCAGAATCTACCTGAATAACAAGGTAGAAGTAATGGACACTCTTGTTCGACGGTGTCAGTGTTTATTTAGCAGTCTAGCCTGCCGTCGAAGCCGAGAAAGCCAGTCACACATATAACGGCACATATAACGCGTGATCTGTGAGTCACGCGAAAGACTTCTGGGTTTATAAGTTAGACGTCGGATTTCTGATTGCTCTTGCTGATAGAAAATGAAATACACAAACCGACCGTTTCAATTTTATCAGCTGACATATTATCTGCGCGTCGAATACTTCACTATTATGCAAACAAACCGGCCGTGGTCCGCTTTTATTTCCCTTTGATTGCCGCGCGTGGAAGCAAGCAAAATATTCGAAGCGACCGAACCGACTGGCAAATTGGGATCCTGAGCATTTTACTAGCTTCTCCTTTTCCAAAATAGCAAGAGATCGTAATATGCATGGTGTCCCGAAAATGTCTCGCAATTCGAGAACGGGAGGTTCCCGAGGTAATTTGAAACAAGTTTGTCCTTTGCGAAAATGCGATCCGTGGCTTCGTTTACGAGTTATTAACGAAAAAAGAGCGACCAATGAGAGGCGAGATATGCTGGCGCAAGGCGGCCGAGCCAATGAGCGGGGCTGGGCTTCGCGCGCTCGTTGGCTCGGCCGCCAAGCGCCAGGCGAGAGCTCGCCTCTCATTGGTCAGTGTTTTTCCGTTAATAATTCGTAAACGAAGCGTCGTGGAACATTTTTGCAAAGGAAAAAGTTGCTTCAAATGATCTCAGGAACCCTCCATTTCCCGGAAGTAACGTAATTTTAAGACAGCCTGTATTTATTTGTACAATAATATTGAATAATACATTCAGATGTTATTACACGATAAAAAATGTATAAAAGAACATCGCTAGAACAAAAATACGCATTTTCGCTGAGGAAAAAGTTACTTCAAATGATCCCAGGAACTTCTCGTTTCCGGTTTGCGAGACATTTTTGGGGCTCCCATTTTTTTGGTACCATAAGCGTCGAGCATAAGAGGTGATTATGCGAGGTGGGCCAGATCGAAGCAGACAAACTATGTCAATGTGTTAGGGCCGTTGTTCTGAGCAAAAAATGTTATGTACACCATAGGTCGATTCGTCTTCGTTTTCGAGATTGTGGAAGAAAAGTGGCGCGGATCGCAGTGCGCTTAACTTTTTTAAGCTTAGCTTTTTAACTTCTTTTTTAAATTCAAATTATCACAGCGTTTCCATCCGTGTCTTTTTGTAATGTTGTTCATATTTTTGGGTATAAATTTTCTAGTATTTTTCTATAATAATAATAATTTTACTCACAGCAAGCGCACATTAAATAATATAAAAAAGAGAAGCAAATTTATGTATATTTAAAAAGAAAGTCGATAATTTTTAAATATATTAAGATAATTTTAAATAAACCCTCCATTAAATTAAAATGTGATTATTAATTTTATATAATTTCATTTATTACATTTGATCTTTGTCCTAATATGAACAAGCTAAACCTAAGCTAAACCTAAGCTAAATCTAAGCTAAACCTAAGCTAAATCTAAGCTAAATCTAACCTTATCATCAACTGAGTTTAAAATTGAAAAAATATAACTTGCTGCTTTTATAATATAAAATTCCCTTATTATACAGAGCACAATGCAATGAATCCGTTTAGCCTAAACTAAATCTAAGCTAAATCTAACCTTATCATCGGCAATGAGTTTAAAATTGAATAAAAACTTGGTGCTTTTATAATATAAAATGCTCTAATTACACGGCACACAATTCAATGAATTCGCAGCAACGGCTGACTTCGGAACCCCAGAAACAAAACCAGCGTCCCCTCGTATCTTCAGATTGTTATGGTTAGCCCCCCTCCCCCCTCCCACCTAGTTCAGCCAACAGAGTCAGGCACCGACACATCCGATACTTTCCTTATCTTCAGTCAAAGACGTTTCTGGAAACGTCGAATTATTATTGTATTCAAACAGTGACTTCGTTCCAGCGAATATATATACACGCATAATATTCCAATATATGCATAATACTCCAATACATGCATACATACATACATTCCAATACTCGCATATATTCCATATACGTACAAAATCAAAATTGTTGTCTGCATTGATTGCAAGAAATTGATGCTAAATAGAACGTTCTTTCTTTAACAACTCTAATAGATGAACAATATAATTTGACACTTAAAAATTCTTTTAATATTACAAAAATTCTTTAAACTTCTTCTACTTGTTCCACTTTAAAAATTCTTTCGATATCATCTCAAATTGCTCTAAACGCATAAATCCGTGTCGCATAATGACCGAGAAAAGCATTGTAAATTAATGAAACCGTGTTTTTTTATGCAAAATAAAAATCGTCTTTAGCAAGAGCAACAAATAAATGCTGAATAAAACGTTCTCTCTTTCTCCGTTTAACGATTCTAATGAAAATCAACGATAATTCATCTTTTGAATATTTTCTCTGTCTCAAAATACCGTGCACGCACGAATCCGTGACCAGCGATTTAAGTTACGCATTTCGAAAAAATACATCGTGATTTTTCTTCGCGATTTTTCTTTCTTTGCGATTTTTCTTCGCGATTTTCCGTCGCGATTTTTCTGCGCGATTCTTCGCGATTTTTCTGCGTGATTTTTCTTCATAACTTTTCTTCGCGATTTTTCTTCGCGATTTTTCTTCGCGACTTTTCTGCGTGATTTTTCTTCGCGATCTTGTTGCGCGATTTTCCTTCGCGATTTTTCTCCGCGATTTTCCTTCGCGATTTTCCTTCGCGATTTTTCCTCGCGATTTTTCTCCGCGATTTTCCTTCGCGATTTTTCTGCGCGATTTAGTCGTTAGCCGTTGTCCGCGACGCGGCGAAACCCGTGTTTCATTCACATATTTCATCGTCGTGTCTCGCGGCTATTCCGACCATTCCCGTTCCGGATCCGATACACGAAAGATTTTTCCTTCTCGCTCCTACGGTTCCTCTCTCCGATCCCCCGTAATTTCGTTTGACACCGCTGACGTGCGCGCGTTAAAAATACAACAAGCACCGGCGCGAGCGCGCGCGCGCGCGGATATTGTAACAACGCTCTGGATTTAATTCACCGGCGATCGTAATAGCCGCCGCGGCCGGCGGGAAACATATCGCGGAGAAATAAACGCGCGAGCGCGCGCGCGCCGCAATTTCGCGCGGACCATGCCAGCTTTATTTCTGTCGCGCGTTGTAAACAGAAGGATCGCGGGGTTTAACGAGCTGACGTTTCTAATTAGATCTTTCCATTTACTTTCGCGGACCAATTCGCGACACCCGATCTCTTCTGCCGCGGCCGCTAAAACCAGAGAGCAAACAGGAAAACATGCTGTCACCATCCCCCCTCCTCTCCCTGGTTTTTGCTGCCTCTTCCGACAATTTCCGGTGCGACAAAGTTCTCTGGATCTTTGGTAACGCGGATTTTTTTTTTCATGCGAGATAGAAATTTGGCAGTGCACTGTTTCGCGGGAAACTTAAGTCTGAGTCTTTCCTCTTTTTTGAGACGTTTTGATAAAGATTGCATTGTTATTAGATTAGGCAGGTATTCTTCGATTATTCTTAATGTGTGTCATAGTTTGAGTTCGTTGCTTTTGGTCGGAAATTTAGTTCAGTGTTTTTCGATAGTAGATTTTTATTCTAGATGTTCAGATCTAATGTTGCTCAGATGTCAAATGTTGTTGAACAGATGCGATATTATATAAATTATCTTTTAGAAAAGGAAATAGGGTTGGAATTGTTTAACGTCCTCGCAGGTGTGTTTGAGTTGTCTGAATTGAACTTGGACTATCAAAAATCCAATATATTGTGTTATATTTATGTAATATTATATTTATATTATATTTATTTATGATAGTAGATATAATATTATATTTATATTATTCTTATTTATTATATTATATAATATTATATTTATTTATACAATATTTTCTTTTGTTTTTTC